TCCCCCTCCCTCGCCCTTCTCCCTCTCCCTCTGAGCAACCAGCTTGGAAGGTGCGTCCTCGACATCGGCAGTGCCATCACTGCCATCACTTTAGCTTCTCGGACTGATGCTTGGTAGCGAACCGCATGCCAGGAGGAAGCAACAGAGACGGGGCTTATAAGGGAGTGAGCAGGCTTTTCATGGGCTGTGCTCACAGTACACCGTATACTGACAGCCATGAGTTCGCTTTTGCGCGTTCAGAGTTGGTTTCCAACTCGCCTGCAGCCTCAGAAGGAACCCACAACAAGCTCAGCCTTGTGTCAAGCTGCACAACACTTGAGGTGGCGCTCGGCACATCCTTACCCGACACTTTCGCGAGTCGACAAGCGGCCGTGCAGGCTTTTTTGGGAGGGGAAACCAACAAAACATCGTGGCATTGTAGCATGTATCTAGACTGAAGCTCGGCTTGTTCTGCTGGTCCCAAGAGTCCCATGTCGGAATGACAGCTGTTCGTGTAGGATCCTACGGCAGATGCGTCGGTGGGCAACGTCACAGGACTTCTTGGGCAGTTCAGAAATTGCAAGGTGCAATGTGCATCGCGGAAAGTCGAGGGGGCCGTATCTAGCACATTTTGAGAATCTCGTAGGCCCTGCTCTGGAAGCGCTCCCCGGGTCCCCGACCATTTCTGACAAATACAGAGGCAGTGCAAAGCTGAGTTATTTGAATCGCTCTCATGCGGAGTTGGGATGTGAGCCTGCGTTGAACACTCTGTGGTTGATGCCTGGCATCGGAATGCCACAAACACTGCAGGAAGCAACTCCGTAAATGTATTCCTGGGGCTTGGCATGCCGTGGACCGTAGGTGCTGGGCCCTCAGTTCTCTTCGCCGCAGGGATTCGTTTTTGTGTTTTGTAGGAGCACATGTGCCGATAGTAAACGGAAAGGGGCGGGCGAGGTGAAGGCTGATGACATTTGACAAGTTCTCCTGCCCTGAGCGCGAACCTTCCACGACCTGACAGGCACTGTTCTGGACCATCGGCGGCGCCGATGCTACCTGGAACGAGCGGTTTCAGGCCACACTCGCCTCAGAACTAAAGTTTTTGAGACCATCTACCACGATACTGGTTTCGGGCACCAGAAGTGTAGGACAGAGCATCTGGACCAAATGAGGGGAACCTCTGAGTCGTGCAGAGACAGGACAAGGACTTCATAGTCGGGACCTCCTGGACCGGTGGCGCAGCTCTCTCAGTGTCCTGCACACTATGCATGCCCATGTAGCCACGCTCTCATAAGCCGGCAGCACGTCAGAATTGTCGAAAGCGTGCCTTTCCGGGAACCTCCTGCCATGCCACCTCAATCCATCCTTCTGCAGTGCTCGGGTCAAAGTGCAGAGGATCAGGGCGACTAGCTGCCATGGCCTATGCAGGTTATGTAAAGGAGGTGTCAAAGCCGGAGGCCTGCGAGCTCATCCATGTCTGTCGGGTGTCACTGTCATTCAGACCTCTCAGTAGCCGTCATGTTTGGAGCTTCATCTTTAGCAACAGGCCTTCCTGATCGCCAGGACGAGGAGAAGCTGGTTTTCAGCCAGCCGCGAGCACGTGGTCAGCGCTACCCGCTCTACAGCCGGACGTGGAACAGAAGCAGGGAGGACCAGTGGGCCGAGAGAGACACAAGAGTCACATTAGAGTCGCTAGAGATTCTCACAAGCGGAAGCAGAAGTCTAAACCAAGGCTCAGCATGCAAAGAGCGATTCTTGAACACACTGGGCGTACAAAGAGCGCTGGACTTGCACTGCTTGTCGTGTCAACATTTGCATGGCCATCCCCTTCATCACCCTCATGATACGCAGAATCAGCATGAGAAGGACTTGGAGACTGCCGTGATGCAGCTCTATGGTTTGGACAGTGTCCTGCTGCAACAAAGCTTATTCTGGTAGGATCTTATGGGCCTCGGTATCGGGTAGAGACGACGAAATATTTAACTTATGAACTTTCATGGAGTCTATCATCTTGAGCCCAAGGCAGGACAAATCACGCCCTTATTCTCCCTTCTGGCATGGGGGCCATTGGGGCGTTGATTTCCTCTGCAGCTTGGCTTCAGGACTGGCAGGGGTGATTCTGCAAGCGACCGGGGGCCCTTCGACCGCTAGTGAAGACAGGAGACATTTGACCAGCTGAAGCCTGTCACAGATCCCGGTGGATTCTGCTCTGCAGCGGCTGCCAAAGTCCAGCTGGTCGCTGCCTCTGAGGTTGCTGCTGGCCTGGCTGGCGAAACCTGGACCCTGGTCCATGGGGACGAGCTGTACTGCGAGGCAGGCAAACGGAGAGTGCCAAGGTTGGAGGGCTTGAACACATTCTTGAGTCTGCCTGCCACGCGGGTCTACCGTGCAAGTCCTTCCTGATACGGGCGGGGCGGCGCATACTCTGAACTTGCCGGTGACTATGCACTTTGGGGTCAGACTACCGGCAGAGAGGGTGAAAGCAAAGCCTAGTTTCCGAACGCCAACGGCTGGATTGCGGAAAGATGCCGAGTGTTGCGTGCTATGTAACGAGGGGAACACGCGATTCGGAAGATACTTCAAGTTGCGTTCGACTCCGGTATTCATGGCCTCGGGCCTTCAACACACTTCGAGCTGACACAGATTTTATCTCAAAAGGGCTCGGGGTTATCTTGATGCATAAGGGCCCTGAAAGCTTACTTGGATACCATTATTCTTTCGAAACCCCAACCTTGTGAACCAGATGATCTTACGTTCATCATAGAGGCTTCATATTCTTCAATAGTCGAACAAGAAACCCTAGCACTGCCGAGTATACGATAACTTAATAGAGCATTGATCTGAAGTCCTTGCCTTCGAATTTATTTAATGGCTGCCGCCAATG